CACCATTAGCTTCCAGAAAGCTGACTCTGCCAGTCTGTCAGGCCCCATCCTCCAGCCCCAGGAGGTAGAGGCCACAGCTGCTGTGGATCAGTCAGCCAGGACAGAGGGGGTCTGGCGGAGGGCTTACTGCCTGCTGGTCAGACCCTAAGTCTCCCGCCTGGCACTTCTGGCTTCCCCAGACCCCAGAAGTGTCCTTGAGGGCTCCCTGCCTTGGACATGGCTTTGAAGGCCAGTCAGGGAGATTTGAGGAGGTGCATGGAGGTAGAGGGAAGGAGGGCTTGGGGAGCCTGAGATGGGCAAGATGCCAGGCCTTCTGCTGCAGAGCTGCGGGTGCCTGGGGTGAATGGGTACGCAGGTGCATGCTATGTCCAGCAGAGGGCAGCCTGACACTGGCTTTTGCCATACACTCACCTCCCACCCCACCCCCAAGACCTCAGGGTTCCTGGCTTGCCTCCTTAACATACTTGGTCTTCTGGGCTGAGCCAAGACTCTCTTCATGCCCAAGTAGCCTTGCTCTGAGATCTGTCAGAGATGGGCTGGGGTGGCCACAGAAAGTGGGGACTGAGTGAGGATGATTCTCTGCTTGCCATGTGGCCCCACCTCCAAACCACACTCTCTTATCCAGGGATGGTGACCACTACGATGCTCTGAGAGACTGCCTCAAGGCCATCTCTCTAAACCCATGCCATCTGAAGGCACACTTCCGCCTGGCCCGCTGCCTCTTTGAGCTCAAGTACGTGGCTGAGGCCCTGGAGTGCCTGGACGACTTCAAAGGAAAGTTCCCGGAGCAGGCCCACAGCAGCGCTTGTGACGCCTTGGGCCGTGACATTACGGCTGCCCTCTTCTCCAAAAACGACGGTGGTGAGTGGGCACCCAGGAGGGGCCGGCACTCTTTCTGTTTGAGGTGCTGCATGACATTCTGGAGAGAACCTGGTTCTGGGGTTAGAGAGGCCTGGGTTCAGATGCTGATTCAGACACCATGTGACCTTGAGACACTCACTTGGTCTCTTTGAGACTCAATTTCCTGATCTGAAAATGAGGAAGGAAGCACTTCCCATTCAGGTTCTATGAGGATTAGCAATAGCCTCCCTGGGGTAGTGCCTGGGACTCGGGATAAGAGTAGGCCGAGCCCGGTCAGGACGTGTGGGTTGCAGGGCACTCTCACACCCTCACAGACAGGGCCTTGGGCATCTGAGTGAGGGGCAGCTGCCAGGGTTGTGCTTGTTCCCGCTGGCACACTTGTAACAGAGACAGCAGCAGAGGACAGTGGAAATGCCTTGGATGCAGGGTGCGGAGCCTCGGGTTCCAATCTCAGCTCTGCCATGTGGTGACCATGTGACCTTGGGCAAAACACAGCCTCTGAACCTGCTGCCTTACGTGCACAGAGCACTGAAGCCCTGCTCAGCTCACCCCACTAGCTGTGGAGAGCAAGCTGGGTGATTGGAGTGTGGCCTTTAAACTTGAAAGGTGAGCTCCCTGGAGGCAGACATGGACTCTGACCTCTCTCCTTTGCAATTTATTAATCATGCCAGTGATTCATTTGTTTGAAGTTATCAAGCATTTACCATGTACCAGGCACTGTGCTATGTCCTGGGAATACAGCTGTGAACAAGTCAGATGGGATTTCTGCATCCATGGAGTTTATAGCCCAGTGATGGAACCAAGGGATGAAGGAGAAACTAAAAGTGGGATGAGTGCCATGGGGCCTGATAGGGCATAGGTGTATGAAGGAGGGCTTGACGGCAGTCTGGGGTTCTTGAGGGAGAAACATTTAAGCTGAGATCTCAAGGGTGGGAAGGAAGAGTTAACTAGATACAGAGTGTAGCTATGGGAGATGAACTGTTCCTGGCATAGGGACCAGCACATGCAAAGGCCCTGAAGCCGGCAGGGACAAGGCACTGAGAAAATTGGTGTGGCTTTACCCAAGGCCCTTAATCCATCAGAGCCTCAGTTGGGATCCATGCTAACTTGTCTTCTAGAAAGGAAGGGCTTGGACCTCACTGCCTTCAGAACTATGGATCTGTTTAGAAAAATCATCCCTTCAAGCTTTCTTGGTAGTGCTTCACCCACCCCTCCCTGCCTCTCACCTCCACAGAAACATCTTGCGCCTGTGCATCCTTGGGGCATCAGAGGTCTCGTTTTTAATATCAGGAACTGGGTCCCAAGAAGCTTCTCTCCCACGATTGTTCCCAGCTTTCTAGGGTAGGGGTAGAGGGCGGTAGTCTACATTGCAAGTACTTGGGCTGAAAACAGGATTAAGGGAGGGGGAAGATGAGAGAGGGACTGGACCCTCACCTTTCCTTGCTCTCTGCCCCCAGAGGAGAAGAAGGGAGCTGGTGGTGGCGGTGGCCCAGTCCGCCTCCGCAGCTCGAGCCGCAAGGACTCCATCTCAGAAGATGAGATGGTGCTGCGGGAACGAAGCTACGACTACCAGTTCCGCTATTGTGGCCACTGCAACACCACCACGGATATCAAGGAGGCCAATTTCTTTGGCAGGTCTGAGGCCTTGAAGAGGAGCAGGGCACAGCCTGCTCGGGCAGTAGGAGGTTGGGGGGCGTGAGGGTATACTTCCTCTAGAAAAGTCTCAAATCCCAGCTCTGCCTCTGTACCCTGGGGCAAATGGCTTCACCTCTGTGGGCCTCAGTTTCTTTATATGTAAAATAAAACCCTAACCCCCACTCATGGAGCCACAGTGAGGAGGACTGATGAGGTAATTCATAAGAACATCCAATGCAGTAGCTGCACTGTCCCTCCGTCTCCCACCTCCTCCTCCTCCTGCCTCCATGTGCGGAGCTTGGTTTCTTTTATTTGGGTGCTTGGAGCCTCCTTCTGCTGGAGGTCTGAGGCAAGGGCCTTCAGAGGCTGGCAGTCTTGGCACACCTATCATGGTCAGAACCGTGCCCCAGGTACTGAGGGACAGCTCGTCCACACACCATCACCCCACCCCTCCTTTGTAGATGTTGCACTTTCTTTGGTAGGTAAGACACATGAACATGGATCGAGAATCTCCACCAAGATCCCCCTAACTGCCCACAGTGTGTAGAATGTGGAGTCTCAATCCAGGAAGGCAGGACCACTGAAGGAAGGCTTAGGGTGTTCCCAGAGACACACGGCCCGATCCCGGCCCCCAAGGAGCTTAGGATGTAGTTTGGGGTTAGTAACTTGGAGGGACCCAGGCATTCCCTGGCTCTGAGTTAAGAGAACACTTAAACAGATACTGGAGCTCTGCAGTATGGGGAGGACTACCATGTACTGAGTCAAGTGAAGACCTTGGAGTTTGGGGGCTGAGCAGATACAGAATCCCCTAGTCCCCTTGCCCTAAGCCACACAGCCTTTCCTTGAGGCTGTAGGGCAGTACCCCACCTGACCTCCCTGCCCTTTGCCACCCCCCCGCCAGCAACGCTCAGTACATCGTCAGTGGCTCTGACGATGGCTCCTTCTTCATCTGGGAAAAGGAGACCACCAACCTAGTCCGCGTGCTCCAGGGGGACGAGTCCATTGTCAACTGCCTACAGCCGCACCCCAGCTACTGCTTTCTGGCCACCAGCGGCATCGACCCTGTTGTACGGCTGTGGAATCCCCGGCCAGAGGTGAGGGTGTAGACAAGGTGGCCGAAGCCAGACAGGGTGGAGGGTAGGGATGGACCCTCTGCAGGACCTCCGGCTGAGCCTGTGAGGGTTGCAAAGGGAAATGGGTCACACGGAGGGTGGGTGAGCTCTCCCTCGAGGGCTCAGGCTATGAAGATGGGAGCCATTGAGTTCTGACAGTTGCAAATACAGTGGGCAGTCCCAGGGCTTTGCGGGCCATATCTTTGAGCAAGCTGTGAAGATGTGTCTCTCACACAGGACACAGTAACCAAGTGCAGGGCAGGGAGGGAACCAGACCAGCTCCAGCACTGGTCATGAGAAGGGGACCCCAGGCTCCCTAGGTACCCCCCTCATATAACACTGTGGTGTGTCCCCCAGAAGCTCTGCGGAGGCCTATCCCTCCATGAATGCTGGTCCCTTCACTCACTGCCTGAGGGACTTAACCGTCTCTGACCCAGGTTTTTATCATCTCCACACTAGAATGGGAGTGACCCATTCCACCTCAAAAGGTTGCTTAGGAGGACGGTATGGCCCCTTCCACTCCCAGGGCGGGTAGCCAGGTGGGCCAGCCTGAGGCTTCCCGGGCCCTCTGTCCCCCCTCCCCCCTCCTCCCAGCTGGCAAAACAGAAGGCAGGTGGTGTCTAATTCCAAAGTCAATTTTCTTGGAATTTTAAAGAGAGCCTACAGGGCCCTCCCTTAAGAAAGGAAAAGAAAGATAAAGGAAGGGCTGTTGGGAGTGGCAACAGCAAAGAATGGGGAGTTGTGTCTGTACCTCCCTCCCTAGGTATCCAGTATGTGTGCCCAACATCTGCTGGTATGTGTTCTCTCTCACATATACCCATGCATGGTCCCCGTGTACATGTCCTGATGTGGTGTGTACCAATTGTTTTCTGGTGCAGACCATCCCATATATACACTGATGTGTGTATTCCCCCCAGTATCTATCCCAGCATGTGCATCCCTTACATATATCTCAGGGAGTTGTGTCCCTTCCCATGTGGGTATCCCTCACATATGTCTTGGTGGGTGTCCCATGCATATCCCAGTGTGTATGTTCCTTCTCTCCGTGTATACATATGGACAAACCGATATAAACCCACAGACATCTGGTGTGCACCCCCCTCCATATGTATAGCTCAGCCTGTGTGTATGTCCCCTACACACACGTGTGCCTCTCCTATACATCCTGGTGTCCCTCCCCCACAGAGTGAAGACCTCACAGGCCGAGTTGTGGAGGACATGGAGGGCGCTTCCCAGGCCAACCAGCGGCGCATGAACGCAGACCCGTTGGAAGTGATGCTGCTCAACATGGGCTACCGGATCACAGGCCTGAGCAGTGGGGGTGCTGGGGCCTCTGACGATGAGGACAGCTCAGAGGGCCAGGTGCAGTGCCGGCCCAGCTAGATCTCCTGGCCTGGTCCCCAGCCCCTGCGGCTGGCTGGACCCTCCGCCCGGGGCAGAAGAGCAGGAGGCTCTGTTTTGGCTTGTCTTCCCCCCACCCCATTTTTTCATTTCCCCCGTTTTGTTTGTTAGTTTGGCATTGGGGGTGGGGATTGCTACAGTTTGCTGGCTTTCAGACTTTGGGGCAGATTGCCCTTGACTGACCCCAGCCCTGAGCAAAAGAGCAGGAGGGGAAGCCCCTCCCTTTGCCCCCCACCTCCCCTCCCAGCTCCCTGGAGGACTCTGGCCTGCCTCAGGTGTGGAGGCCAGGCTGAAGCTGTCTTCAAGGGCTGCCCTACCCTTCGGTTGGCAGCAGGAAGGGGATTGGAATTCCCAGTCCATAAGGGCTAGCCTTGACCTGTTGCCACTCTTGCTCCCTGACTGGCAAGGCTAGCTCCCTCCTCCGTGGTCTTCAGGGAAGGCTCTGAAAAAGGACAGGGTCCCACTCTCCCTCCAGAGCCACTGTGTCAGGGTGGAAGCAGAAGGAAGGATGGGAGCCCTGGACCGGGTGCGGGCAAGGCCAGGCCACTGTGCCTGCTCTCACTGGCCACCTCTGGGTACTCAGCCTTTCCTGGAGGACCCTGGCGGGGGAGGGGAGGCCACACTGTACCCTGCCCGCCCTTCCACACTAGGCTCCTCTCCTCTCTCAGGCGCTCCTGGCCTCACTGTGACCTTTCTGCCAGAGCTCCCAGCCAGGCCTGCTCTTGCTGAGGCGGGCTCCCTGCTAAGGGCCCTTCTTGCCCTTGCTCCCCTTCCTCTCACCCACATGCAGAGCCGCCACAAAC